GAACTGTGAATTGGCTGTAATTAAAGTTTCTGCCACTCTGGCTAAGTGGGGCAAAATACAGGAATTCAAGTGAGTTCAAGAAAATTCAGGTTCTGTTTCCTACACACCAGAAACTGGAACCAGCTATACTCTGCCCACAGGCCTTATGTATGTGTTCCACCCCCTCCCATTTCTCCTCTGTGCCTCTCTCTCCCCCAGTAGCCACAGTCTCACTATTATTGTCTCAAAACCCCAAACTTTCCCACCCCAGGACCTTTGCACAAGCAGTTTCCTCTGCCTTGTCCTGGCTTTTTTTTTTTTTTTTTTTTTTTTTTGAGACGGAGTTTCACTCTTGTTACCCAGGCTGGAGTGCAATGGCGCGATCTCGGCTCACCGCAACCTCCGCCTCCTGGGTTCAGGCAATTCTCCTGCCTCAGCCTCCTGAGTAGCTGGGATTACAGGCACGCACCACCATGCCCAGCTAATTTTTTTGTATTTTTAGTAGAGATGGGGTTTCACCATGATGACCAGGATGGTCTCCATCTCTTGACCTCGTGATCCACCCGCCTTGGCCTACCAAAGTGCTGGGACTACAGGCGTGAGCCACCATGCCCAGCTTGTCCTGGCTTTTTAAATGACAGGCTCCGTCTGAGTTTAACTACTTCCCTGCTGGGTGGGGTGGCTCAAGCCCTGAATCCCAGTGACTGGGGCCAAGCAAAGCAGGAGAATTGCTTGAGGCCAGAAGTTTGAGACCAGCCTGGACAACATAGCGATACCCTGTCTCTTTTTTTTTTTTTTTTTTTTTTTGAGACGGAGTTTCGCTCTTGTTACCCAGGCTGGAGTGCAATGGCGCGATCTCGGCTCACCGCAACCTCCGCCTCCTGGGCTCAGGCAATTCTCCTGCCTCAGCCTCCTGAGTAGCTGGGATTACAGGCTCGTGCCACCATGCCCAGCTAATTTTTTGTATCTTTAGTAGAGACGGGGTTTCACCATGTTGACCAGGATGGTCTCGATCTCTCGACCTCGTGATCCACCCGCCTCAGCCTCCCAAAGTGCTGGGATTACAGGCTTGAGCCACCGCGCCCGGCTTACCCTGTCTCTTAAAAAAAAAAAAAAAAAAAAAAAAAAAAAAATGGCAGGCGTGGTAGTGCATGCTTGTAATCCCAGCACTTTGGGAGGCCAAGGCAGGTGGATCACGAGGTCAGGAGATCGAGACCATCCTGGCTAACACAGTGAAACCCCATCTCTACTAAAAATACAAAAAATTAGCTGAGCGTGGTGGCACACACCTATAGTCCCAGCTACTTGGGAGGCTGAGGCCGGAGAATCACTTGAACCCGGGAGGGGGAGGTTGCAGTGAGCTGAGATCCAGGCCACTCCATCTCAAAAAAAAAAAAGAAAGAAAGAAGAGTTATGAAATTAAGACAGTGCAGTGGCATGCACCTTATAGTTCCAGCTACTTGGGAGGCTGAGGCTTGAGCCCAGGAGTTCAAAGCTACAGTGAGCTATGTTCGCACCACTGCTCTCTAGCCTGAGCGACAGAGTAAGACCCTATGTCTAAAAAAAAAAAAAAAAAAAAATTTCACTTCCTTCAGGTATAACCTTAAGACTGAACAAAAAAAAAAAAAAAAAAAAAAAATTTCACTTCCTCAGACTAGGTTTTTCAAAATAAAACTACCTGTTAATTGTCTCTCAAAGGGTCCTGTTTATTTCCATCAGGACCTCTGTAAATATTTTTTTTTTTAGTGTATCTGTTTCCCTCATTAGAATGTTCACTTCCTGAGTAAGACCCTTGTTCCTCTTGACGTTCCCCGGTTGCTACCACTGTGCCTGGTACACAGCTGGTGCTCGAGAATGACCTGTGGAATGGCTGACCAGTGGCAGTTGGGGAGTTCCTGGCTTCCCACAGGCTGGTGGCCACTGGGCTCCTCAGCCCCTTCCTGGGCCCCGGACAGCCTTTTCCAGCAAGCCGAGACCAGATTACAAAAGACCTATCCTTGGGGTTTGAAGACTTGGCTGTGCTCTAACCCAGGGGCTTGGGAAAAACGTGTCTCTGCAAGGCCTGCTTCCTTTCATTCTCATCTGTATTCCCAAGACCTTGCCTAGGAATGACAGAGGGCCACGGGGGTCTGGCACACGACACTTAAGGAACATGTCCAGAGCCTCTCTTCTCAGCAACTCACACTAGCCTTCCCGCTTCCCTTGCTGCTCTGCTGAGGACAGAGAAGCCCCTGGTGTGCCTCACAGCCTGGGAGCCAGACCTGCCTGCATCCCTAAGCCAAATCCCCAGCTAAGCCCTCTTCAGTTTCTCACACACGGCACACATGTAGAGGTCTGCAAGGGAAGCTGCTGTGGGGACTCTACCAGTTCCTCGTCTCTCTCCCCACTTGTGAGGGTATGGTGACGTTTTCACAGTGAAGCCTTCCCTCTGTGCCTGCCTTCTGTTTCTCTTTCCAGTAGTCACTTTGTGGTATCAGTCAGTCCTCTTTCTTCACTATACTACCGAGGATCAATCAGTCCTTTTAACTCCAGTTGTCAGAGGGGCCAGGAAACTCAGAAATTCTCCCTGCTAGGACCGTCTGTTCTCCCTGAAGGCAAAGGGCAGAGTTAAGGGTTTCTAGACCTATAGGCAATAAAATAAATTTAGTATGCAAAAGAATCATGATGGATGGTGAATGTGGATGAAATTCCCGGGTCCTAGACTCCGGTTCAAGTCTAGGTAAGGAGGAGCCAGGAAAGTGCATTTTCTACACATATCCCAGCTGGTCCCGATGAGGTGGTCTGCAGACAATACTGACAAAGACTGAACTAGAATGTGAATGCCGTGTCCTTGAGCCACTAATGTCCAAATGAACATTCCTCTCAAATCTCCCTCAAGAAATGAGAGCATCACAAGGTCAGGGGCCCTCCTTTATGCAAAACTCTGCTACAGCAGTTCTCAACCTGGATTTCATCTGTGTTTTTTTTTTTTTTTTTTTTTTTTTTTTTTTTTTTTTTTTTTTTTTTTTTGAGATGGAATCTTGCTCTGTCACCAGGCGGAAGCGCAGTGGCACGATCTTGGCTTCCTGCAATCTCTACCTACCTGGCTGAAGCGCTTCTCCGCCTCAGCCTCCCGAGTAGCTGGGACTACAGGCATGTGCCACCACATCCAACTAATTTTTTTATTTTTAGTAGAGATGAGGTTTCACCATGTTGGCTAGGGTGGTCTCAAACTCTTTGCCTCATGATCCACCTGCCTCAGCCTCCCAAAGTGCTGGGATTACACGTATGAGCCACCATGCCTGGCCTGTTTTTTTTTTTTTTGGAGACAGAGTCTCGTTCTGTTGCCGAGGCTGGAGTGCCCAGGCGTGCTCTCGGCTCACTGCAACCTCTGTCTCCTGGGTTCAAGCAATTCTCATGCCTCCGCCTCCCAGGTAGCTAGGATTGCAGACACACGCCACCACACCCAGCTAATTTTTCTATTTTTAGTAGAGACAGGGTTTCACCATGTTGGCTATTCTGGTCTCAAACTCATGGCCTCAAGTGATCTGTCAGCCTCAGCCTCCCCAAATGGTGGGATTACAGGCGTGAGCCAGTGTGCCCAGCCACATCTTTGTTTTCTTTGACCACCTCCCCAACTAGGGTGTAAGCTCCTGTACAAAAAGGTTCAAATCTCACTTTATAGTGTGTGCTTAGCCAGACGTGGTGGCTCATGCCTGTAATCCTAGCACTCATGAAGGCTGAGACGGGAGTATGGTTTGAGCCCAGGAATTCAAGACCTGCCTGGGCAATACGGTGAGACTTCGTCTCTATTTAAAAAAAAAAAAAAAAAAAAAAAAAAAAAAAAAAGATGATTTGTGCCTAGCAGAAGGCCTTAGCACATGGCAGGTATGCTGTGAATATCTGATGAATGCAAACTCTGGTTCCTCACTGCAACCTCCACCGCCTGGGTTCAATTCAAGCAATTCTCCCCCCTCAGCCTTCTGAGGAGCTGGGATTACAGGTGTGCACCACGATGCCTGGTTAATTTTTTTTTTTTTTTTGTATTTTTAGTAGAGATGGGGTTTCACCATGTTGGCCAGGCTGGTCTTGAACTCCTGACCTCAAGTCAGCCACTTTCACTAAGATGGTTATTTGCCTGCGGCAGGCCTAGAATGATGATAGGGCAGCTGCCACAAGGACTTGGGTTCTAACTCTGAGAACTCAGTAACTCTCAGATCAGTGATGGAATTCCTGCTACTGGCTGAGTTCCCACACCCCAGTGGGGAGGGCCCAGGAGCCTCCAACCTGTCTGCTTCAGGAAACAGCAATGAGACTAACAGCCTCTTTCACACTACTATAAAGAAAAACAGCCGGGCGTGGTGGCTCAAGCCTGTAATCCCAGCACTTTGGGAGGCCGAGGCGGGTGGATCACCAGGTCAAGAGATCGAGACCATCTTGGTCAACGTGGTGAAACCCCGTCTCTACTAAAAATACAAAAAATTAGCTGGGCATGGTGGCGCGTGCCTGTAGTCCCAGCTACTCAGGAGGCTGAGGCAGGAGAATTGCTTGAACCCAGGAGGCGGAGGTTGCGGTGAGCCGAGATCGTGCCATTGCACTCCAGCCTGGGTAACAAGAGCGACACTCTGTCTCAAAAAAAAAAAAGAAAAAAAGAAAAAAAAATCACACTACTATAAAGAATAAAGAAAAACAAACAAAAAAAAGAGACTAACAGCCTCTTCAACAGGGACTCTGAAGAGGAAAGCCACTTTCCACCTGACCAGTCTGAAGTACTCTCCTACAATTCTCAAGCTTTGCTACATATCAGAATCACCTGGGAAATTAAAAAAAACTCCTAGCCCTCAGACATACCCCATACCAACGAAACAGGCACCTCTGAGGGTGCGACAGGTGGTTCCAATGTGCAGCCAAGCTTGGGTCTGCCCCTGCTACACAGGACTGTGTGGGAGCCCAGCACACGGAGGGGAAAGCCTGAGGCACCAGCCTGTTTGTATCCAAGTTTGGTTTTATGAGAAAATGAACACAACTGCAAGAGAAATGGAGACAGTTAGAGGTGGCTCAGGCTGAGCACCTTTAATTATCCTCACTGAGAGAACTGAAAACTACTTGACAGATTACATAATCAAGAAGTCAGAGATTCAGATCATCAAAAAGGGGGATTGTCACCTACCCCAAGGCCACAGATAGACAGGATTCTGGGTCCCAGACTGAGTCTAGGACGTGGAACCCTGTGAAAGGCAGCTTTGACAGGTGGTCTGTTGGACACCAGCTTCTGGGCTGGCCCTGCTCTCTTCTCAGGTTCCAGACAGGGTGTGAGGGCAGAGAGCTGGCTCCGGAGAACACCAGAGGAACCCAAGTTGGGGCCAGCCTTGCCGAGGGCGTCACTTAGAGTTTTTGGAGGGAAATTCCCACCGGCCTTGGCCCTTGCCACCAAAGTTCCGCACACGATGGATAATCTGCAGCTGCTGCTCAATGGTGGAGGTGATGTTCACATCATCTGGGATGTGGACGTAACGGACATTGCGGCCCGTCACAAAGAGGTCATCCAGCTTGACTTGATGTCCCCAACGGTCCGTGTAGGTGACTTCGGCCAGGCGGATGTTCATGAAAGCATCGACATTGTCTATGCGTCCGTGGGCCACGCTCTCATCCCGCAGGTCCACTGTGGTTACCCGGCCCTGGAGGCCCTGCAGCAGGATGATCAGGCTGTTCTCAGAGATGGTCCGCTCCTTTACTGAGTGGCTCACCGCCATTCTTCCACACTGGCTGTCTGCTTGCTGTGGATAAGAGCACACAGATGGCAACTACAGCAGGGTAGGGGGTACAGTTGCCAACTCACCTCCTCTAGGTTCTCTTTTTTTTTTTTTTTTTGAGACGGAGTTTCGCTCTTGTTACCCAGGCTGGAGTGCAATGGTGCGATCTCAGCTCACCGCAACCTCCGCCTCCTGGGTTCAGGCAATTCTCCTGCCTCAGCCTCCCGAGTAGCTGGGATTACAGGCACGTGCCACCATGCCCAGCTAATTTTTTCTATTTTAAGAAGAGACGGGTTTCACCATGTTGACCAGGATGGTCTCAATCTCTTGACCTCGTGATCCACCCGCCTCGGCCTCCCAAAGTGCTGGGATTACAGGCTTGAGCCACTGCGCCTGGCCCTCCTCTAGGTTCTCAAACAAAATTCCCAGTACAGACCACCTCTGCAATTTTTGTATCTGTGGACACAGATGGTGCCCCTACATGTCTCACAAAATCCTCACACCAACTTGCAAGCCAAGGATTACTTATACTCATTTTATGAAGGAGAAAAATATGGTTAGGCTGGCCAGGTGCAGTGGCACACAACTGTAGTCCTAGCTACTCAGGAAACTAAGGTAGGAGCTTCTCTTGAGCCCAAGGGCTCTGCTGACCAGCCTGGGCAACCTATCGAGACCCCCCATCTCTAATTTTTTAAAGAAACCTACAAGAAAATGGTGAGCATTTCTATTGAGTCAAGGACAACAAAATGATGCCTACTTTTTTTTTTTTGAGACGGAGTCTTACTCTGTCGCCAGGCTGGAGTGCAGTGGCGTAATCCTGGCTCACTGCAACCTCCGCCTCCTAGGTTCAAGGGATTCTCTTGCCACAGCCTCCTGAGTAGTTGGGACTACAGGTGCATGACACCACACCTGGCTAATTTTTGTATTTTTAGTAGAGATGGCGTTTCACCCTGTTGGCCAGGATGGTCTCGATCTCCTGACCTTGTGATTCACCCGCCTCGGCCTCCCAAAGTATGGGGATTACAGACATGAGCCACAGCACCCAGCCAAATTTTTGTATTTTTAGTAGAGACAGGGTTTCACCATGTTGGCCAGGATGGTCTCGATCTCTTGACCTCGTGATCTGCCTGCCTTGGCCTCCCAAAGTGCTGGGATTACAGGTGTGAGCCACCGTGCCTAGCCAAGGATACCTACTTTTATGGCTTCTAATCAACAGTAAAATGTAGGTAATGTTCAATACAATGTTCAAAAAATGATCACAGAAAGAAAGGGAAATAATTTAGAGAAACAATAATTATAAAGGAAGATCACTCTCCTTGTTTGTCAATTATATGATTATCTACATTGAGAATTCAAGACAAATTATTAGGACTAACAACAAAAGTCAGTATCATTCCTAATAATACATTAATTTTAAAAAATCATTTTTTAAAAAGAAAAATATGGCTAGGAGAGGTAACTTGCCCAAGGTCACAGTAGATAAGTGGAATTGCTGGAATTCAAATCTATAGCCGCAGGCTGGCCGTGGTGGCTGAAGCTTGTAATCCCAGCACCTTGGGTGGCCCAGGCAGGTGGATCGCTGGAGGCCAGGAAGGAGCTCGGGACCAGCCTGGCCAATATGGTGAAACCCTGTCTCTACTAAAAATACAAAAATTAGTCGGGTGTGATGGTGCGCACCTGTAATCCCAGCTATGCAGGAGGCTGAGGCAGGAGAATCGCTTGAATCCAGGAGGTGGAGGCTGCAGTGGGCCAAGATCACAAGTTCACACCACTGCACTCTACCCTGGGTGACAGGGCCGGACTCTGTCTCAAAAAAAAAAAATCCAAAATAAAAAAATAAACAAAAAAATCCATAGCCACCTGGCTCCAAACCTCACACCAGATGTACATTATAATCACCTGCCGCGTTTTTAACCTGACCTCCCCAACACAGAGATTGTGATTTATTTGGTTGGGGGGCGGGGCACAGGTATCCTATTTTCTAAAAGGTCCCCAGGTAACTCAATGTGCTGAGGGGTCCTGGTTAGAAATGCATAATCTCAGGTCTCTCCCCAGGCCTGTTCTCAGAGAGGATCCACTTCTTCACTGAGTGGCTCACTGCCATTCTTCCACGCTGGCTGGAAACAGACTCTTCATTTTAACATGACCCCCTAAGTGAATTAGATACATATTAAGGTTTGAGAATCACTGGCTGACACCAATAGCTCTCAAACTGTGTATCAAAATCACCTGAGGGGCTTGTTATCTCAGCTTGCCGGGCCCCACTCCCAGTTTGACTCAGGCGGTCTGAAGTGGGGCCCAGAGATAAAGTACATTTTTGTTTTTTTGAGATGGAATTTCGCTCTTGTTCCCCAGGTTGGCGTGATCTCAGCTCACCGCAACCTCCACCTCCCGGGTTCAAACAATTCTCCTGCCTCAGCCTCCGGAGTAGCTGGGATTACTGGCGCCTGCCACCACACCCGGCTAATTTTGTATTTTTAGTAGAGATAGGGTTTCGTCATGTTGGCCAGTCTAGTCTTGAACTCCTGTTCTCAGGTGATCCACCCGCCTGGGCCTCCCAAAGTGCTGGGATTACAGGCGCGCCCCGGCCTGATAAAGTGCATTTTGAACATGTTCCCAGGTGATGCTGATGCTGCTGGTCAGGGCCCACGCTCTAAGAACCATGCAGCTGTTATGTAAATAGAAATTTAGGTAATGAGGCCGGGCAACCAGTAGGATATAAAGTACATAGGTTTTGAAGATAGAGAAACCTAATTCGACTCCTCACTCCACCCCTAACTATGTAAACCTAGAAGAGTTAATGTCTCTGAACCTGTTTCCACATTTATTAAACTACAGACGAAACAAGGCTACCAAAATCACACTTCACTGAAAGTACTCTCCGTTGATTTCAACATGCCTTGATATCGTATTAGTGTACTGTCTTACCTATCCCTTATTTTCAGACTCTGAGTTAAAGGGAGTGGAACGCTCTCTCTTTACCACCTCACTCAGAGTCTCATCCAGGGAGGGCTGTGCAGTGTGGCACTGAGCAGGGCAAGCACTCTATGACAATGATGAGTGGGGCTGGGAGCTAGGTCCCTGGGCAGGGCCTAATGTCCAGCCACCCTGGCTACAGCCTGACGAATCTGTGATCAAGCAAAGGTATGGGCCTGCCGCTGCGACTGCAAAGAGCAATCACCGGACCTCGAGTCAGGCCCGAGTTCTAGGTCAAGCTCTGCCACCTCCTAGGAGGGAGACCACTTAGCAAACCACTTAGCTTCTCCGAGCTAGCTAAGCTACTGTAAAAAGAGATCAGCACCCCTTACTCAGAGCAGCGGGAGAGGGTCTGGGGAAATGAGCTATACTCGGTAAACGGGGAAGAAAACGCATCCTGGGCTCCGGCACCTCCTTCCGGAGGTCCTGGCATCCCCCCGCATTCCGCCCCGGGGCTCCCTGCACCGCCGACCGAGACCCACCACGCGGCATTCCTTCCACTTTCCCCGTCTGGGTCGCCGCCGTAGCTAGCGGGCGCCTGGCCGGATTGCCTCCCGCCGGCCGCAGCAGGACAGAGACACCATGCCGGCGACCGGGCCGCTCTGTCCTCCCGGAGCGGACTGCGTCAGTGTGCGGATCGAGTCACGGCGGCCCGGAGAAACTACAATCCCCAGAATGCCTCGCGGTGCGGCGCTCGCGCTCCGCAAATCCCGTCCTGCGTCATTGGAGTCTCCTTCGCTAGAGTCGTTCATTCATTCCGCACGCATTCACTGAAGTGGTAGGCTCCTTCTCATGCTCCGGCATAGAGCGGTGACCACGATCAAGTGACTTCCTGAACTGATGGCGCTGCAGGGGAGTCTTAAGAAAACAAACAAGAAAAATAGGGAAAAAGTTCTTCAGAAGATTAAAAGCGTGATGCAGTAGTGACTAGGTGATCTTTTATTGGATTGTCAGGGGTGTCCTGAGAAGGTTACGTTTGAGTTGAGATTAGTGACATGAAGCCAAGCTTGTGAAAACTAGGGGAGGAGCACTGCAATTAGAGGGAACAGTTTGGTAAATAACATTTATAGGAGGCAAGGCCGGTGGCCCACGCCTGTAATCCCAACACTTTGGGAGGCCAAGGTGGGAGGATCACTGGAGCCCAGAAGTTTGAGACAGGTCTGGGCAACATAGGGAGACCCTGTCTACAAAAAATAGAAAAAGTTAGCCCACCGTTGTGGTGCACACCTCTGGTCCCACCTACTTGGGAGGGTGTGGCAGGAGAATTGCTTGATCCCAGGAAGTGGAGGCTGCAGTGAGCCCAGATAGCACCACTGCACTCCAGCCTGGGTGACAGAGTAAAACTCTGTCTAAAAAAAAAAAAAAAAAAAAGGGGCCGGGTGCGGTGGCTCACGTCACGCCTGTAATCCCAGCATTCCAGCACTTTGGGAGGCCGAGGTGGGTGGATCACGAGGTCAAGAGATTGAGACAGACCATGGTGAAACCCTGTCTCTACAAAAATTAAATAAATAAATGAAATTTGGAGGCCATTGATTTGGATAGGGCTCCTGCACTAAGCCCAGCCGATCAAACCAAAATGGAGTCACTCATGCTAAAGTTTCACATCACCAAGTGGCAACTGAGTTGTTTATCTGATATTCAGAGAAATCAGCAGAGTGAGAGATAGCCAATCTCCAAACTATTCAGTTTTAGCTGGCAGGATAAGAAAGTCCCTTGTGCTTTTAGCCTTCAACTTACAAGGAAAGTAACTTTGAAACAACTAATCTGTTTTTGTTTTGTTTCTGCTCTCCTCAGCCCTTTTCTGTCTGAAAAACCAATAATCTCTGCTCAGCTCATTTGAACACTCATTCCATTTTATACAATGAGGTGTTGCCCAATTCTAGAATTGCAAATACAAGCCAAATTTAACAAATTTGTAAATAAAAGCCAAATCACCAATTAAAAGTCAAATTTTTTCTTTTCCAGTTCATGCAAAGAACCCTGGGGAAACAACCTTGACAATTTAAGAAATAAAGGAAAGGCCAGGGAAGCTGGGGAGAGTAGAACAGGAGGCCAGAGAGGAAGCAGCAGCCAGAGCATACAGGGCTTCGTAAGCCAAGGTAAGGAGTTTAGATTTTCTTTTCTTTTTTTTTTTTTTGAGATGGAGTCTCACTCTGTTGCCCCAGGTTGGAGTGCAGTGGCACGATCTCGGCTCACTGCAACCTCTGCCTCCCAGGTTCAAGTGATCCTCCTGCCTCAGTCCCACGTGCTACCATGCCCGGCTAATTTTTGTATTTTTAGTAGAGATGGGGTTTTGCCATGTTGGCCAGGGTGGTCTCGAACTCCTGACCTCAGGTGGTCCACCTGACTCAGCCTCCCAAAATGCTGGGATTACAGGCCACTACACCCAGCCAAGAGTAGATTTCATGCTTAGGAGTGCAGGCTCCATCCAGATACAGTGCCTAGGGTCAAATCCACTCCCTGCTAACTATGACTTTGGGCAAGTTAGCTATCTTCTCTGTGTCTCAGTCTTCTCATCCAGTACTAGAGGTGCTATGATAGACTACTGAAAGGGAGCCACATGATTTGATTTACGTCACCCAGGCTGGAGTGAAGTGGTGTGATCATAGCTCACTGCAGCCTCAACTTCCTGGGCTCAAGTGATCCTCCTGCCCAAGCCTCAAGAGTAGCTGGGACTACAGGCACACACTACTGTGCCCCTGTGCCCCATCTGATTTACATTTTTTAAAAGTCACTCACGCCTATAATCCCAGCACTTTGGGAGGTCGAGGCAGGTGGATCATGAGGTCAGGATATTGAGGTTATCCTGGCCAACATGATGAAACCCCGTCTCTACTAAAAATACAATAGCTAGGTGTGGTGGTGCATGCCTATAGTCCCAGCTACTCAGGAGGCTGAGGCAGGAGAATCGCTTGAATCCGGGAGGCGGAGACTGTGGTGAGCTGAGATTGAGCCACTGCACTCCAGCCTGGCAACAAAGTGAGACTCCATCTAAAAAAAAAAAAAAAAAAAAAAAAAAAAATCACTCTGTATAGCCTTGGAAAAATTACTTTCTTCCTCAGCCTCAATTTTCTTATTATGACAATAAAAAATAAGGTCTTTCTCAGAGAACTTTAAGATGTGAGTGATGTTCATTAATGTGTGAAAGCACCTGGCACAGAGAGGAAGCTCAGCAAGTTAGGCTTCTTGGCTGATCATGGTGGCTCACACCTGTAATCCCAACACTTTGGGAGGCCAACACAAGAGGACTGTTTAAGCTCAGGAGTTGGAGACCAGCCTGGGCAACATAGTGAGACCCCATCTCTAAAATACGTTTTAAAAAAATAGCTGGATATGGTGGGTGTGCTTAGCTGTCACAAGACCCTTAGGGTGTCACTTTGCCAGCCGGAAACCTCTGTGGCTAGCATTGCCTGTGCTTGAGTTTTGTTTGTGCCTGCTGGGTTCATTCTGCCCACTGAGTCCAGCAGGCTCCACTCAGCTTGCACTACTTGTCCAGATCCCGTGCCTGCCAAGGGTGTGCCAGGTGTAGAGCAATGAGGGGTGTGTGAGCGAGTGAGCACAGGGTCTGGCCCCTGCACACACCATACTCAACGGCTGCTGCAGTGGGGTGGCAGCTCCATGCAGCAGCACAGGCACTGGCTCTATGTAAGGCTGTGGCTGGACCAGACGTACCACAATCGGCTTCTGCTAAGGGAACCAGCATCTGGAGAAGGGGAACACAGTGGTGGCTGAAAGCTTCGAGACACCAGGAACCACAGAGCCCCAAAGAGGGTGTTACAGTGTGTCACAGCCCTGCCTGGGGAGCCTGGAGGTGTGGGCCCCAAGAAGGGCTGCAGCTCTTCTCTCCTTGCCACCCACCACGAGGAGCAGGGGCAGGGCATGTTTGGGAATGGGAGGTGTGTTTCAGCCCATATGTGTTATGTCTCTTTCAGTCCCACCGCCCCACGCTGCCCTACTCTGGCCCGCGGCTCCTGGGCTGACCGGCCCTGCCACTGCTTCCTGTCATGTGGTACAGCTACTGGCTGATGGAGAGTGGGAGGGCTACAGTGTTAAAGCAGCTCTGGCTGGGAAAATCCGAAGGTCTGGGCCCCTAGAAGGGTCACCACTCTTTAATCCTGCAGTCTGGGAGTGTGTCACCACCTGCAGCTCAGCGAGCGGGTGGGGAACATGTTATAGCTCCTTTCACTCCCACTGTTCGGCGGGTCCCAAGTTCTTGTCTTGCATCCAGGAAGAATGAGGTTATGTGGATAACTGGAGGGTGAGCAAGGTGGAGAGGAGCTTTACTGAGCAACAGAACATCTCTCAGGAGACCTGAAGTGGGTAGCTCCTTTCTGCAAGCAAGTCCTGTGGCCTGTCTGAGGCTGGCTGAGGCTGGGGTTTTCAGGAGCTCAAAATGGAGAAAGTGCATGCTGGTTGGTCCATGGGCAGCCATGGGTGGGCCTGGAAAAAGCACTATCCAATTGGCTGAAAGGCGTCAGTGAAGTTCTTTTTTTTTTTTTTTTGAGATGGAGTTTCGCTCTTGTTACCCAGGCTGGAGTGCAATGGCACGATCTCGGCTCACCGCAACCTCCGCCTCCTGGGTTCAGGCAATTCTCCTGTCTCAGCCTCCTGAGTAGCTGGGATTACAGGCATGAGCCACTGTGCCCAGCTAATTTTTTGTATTTTTAGTAGAGACGGGGTTTCACCTTGTTGACCAAGATGGTCTCGATCTCTTGACCTTGTGATCCACCCACCTCGGCCTCCCAAAGTGCTGGGATTACAGGCTTGAGCCATCGCGCCCGGCCCAGTGAAGTTCTTATTCCTGTCCTGGACTCCACCTGGTACTGGCAGCCCAGCTCCCAGGCTTCAGGCCACCCCTAGCTTGAAGCTGGGGCTTCACTGGGGATCTGCCCCTTCTGCCCAGGAACCCAGCTGCCTCCAGGCACTATTAACATGCCATCTGTTGGTGCCCTGGTTGCTTGGGCAGATGGGTGCCTGCAGGCCTGCACCAAGCCACCCTCAGTCCCCTGGCCTCCATCCCATGCTTGTTGGTGCCCAAAGTCTCAGGGGGTGCTGAGGCAGCAGGGGGCTGGTGTGTCAGGGTCGCCCCAAGTGCATGCACACCCAGCTGGGTCACATCAGCACTTAGGCTTGGTCACAACTTTGCTCTGCACTGGAGTGGGCACCAGGAGTGGGGAGAGGCCAAGGAGCGGGAGCAGGCACTTCTGTGCCTTTGGGGACAGGGGCTTTCTGGGCCCTCAAGAGCACAGGGATGCACGGTCTGAAGCCATGGCTGGGCAGCTGCAGCTGTGCCCAGGAGTGCAGCCTCCATGTCCCACCAGTTTGGTAGGGTGGCGGGCTCCTGCTGGTATCACCTGTTTCTGGCCCCTGCCAACTCGATGAGCTCGAATCCCTGGCTGTGCCTCTACTGCTGCAGCTGGTTTTTTTTTTTTTTTTTTTGAGACAGAGTTTCGCTCTTATTACCCAGGCTGGAGTGCAATGGCGCGATCTCAGCTCATCGCAACCTCCGCCTCCTGGGTTCAGGCAATTCTGCCTCAGCCTCCTGAGTAGCTGGGATTACAGGCACGTGCCACTATGCCCAGCTAATTTTTTGTATTTTTAGTAGAGATGGGGTTTCACCGTGTTGACCAGGATGGTCTCGGATCTCCTGACCTCGTGATCCAACCGCCTCAGCCTC